ATGATATTACGTAATACCAATGTAAAAAATATTCATGAAACCATATAAATAATATAATACGTAAATGAAACAATATAAATAATATTATAAATAATACACTAATATTAAGAATATTCTTACCTATGAGGATCTACCTGTACAAATTCAAGTAAAAGAGTGTACATGGCCGCCGGTTCCAAACCCTGTGCCAATACTTTAACCACTGGAAACATTCGTCTAAAAAAACAACAACAAAAAAATAAATAAAAAAAGATTCATATCATTTACAATTAAATTGAAGTTCGCGTCAATATTGTTTTACAGTTAAAGAAAATATTATTCTTGTGTGTGGTAATTGCAAGAAACAAATATATGCTAGGTATTATTATTATTATTATTATTAGACTCAATTAGTTCAATTTGCAACTTTGTTGTTCTATTTCTTCTCATATAGTTCGTCATTGTCTTTTTTTTTTTCCTTATCTACGCGTCCTTACATTTAATTAAGATAATAATAATAATAATAATAATAATTATTATTATTATTTACAACGAATTCTTTTCGTTTTAATAATATTTCGCAATAGAGAATAAAGAAGAATAAGAAATAAAGTAAAGAAAAGAAAAGAAAGGAAAAGAAAAGAAAAAAATAATATTGCAGAGAAATTCTTGGATCTTACATTTTTTTTTTTTTTTTTTTTTATATTGTGCATTATTATTTTTTTTTTCTTTGTTAGTATAGAGTATAGATTCTATATCGTTGTTCGACAAGTTTTTTTTAAAAGACAGTCCCGTCGGCAAAACTTCACAAGTTGCAGGTGTCCCCCTTGCTTTTTCTAAAACCCGACAACAACGTGTCTAGAAAATCTTTTACGAAGAGAAAAAGAAGAAGAACAAGAAGAGAATCGTGTGTATCGTAAAATTTTATTACCGACACAATATTATACTTCTTTATTCTCCAACCAAATAATTGTATTTCTTTCATTGGATTTATTTTCATTTTTTACTCTTTCTTATTCTTAGTTTTTTTTTTTTTTCTTTTTTACGAACGGCGTGTATTATTATTAGTCGCGTGTGCCTATTTACTCGATTTTGATTATCGAAATACAATTATAATTCAATAAGAATCAATGATAAATCGAAACATAATCAATCATAATGTTTTTTTTTTTCAAATATATTAGGAATAATTGTATCAGCCACATTTTTCTAGTTTCTACGATTATTCTTTCATACGCGGTACTTTTTTATTTATCGATTTGAAATATTTATTATTTTAATTAATCGCATTTTTAGGTTTTATTTTATTTAATATATGATTCTATAGTCATTACATATATAATATTTATATTATTAATTATTAAATATATATATATATTTTTTGTTGACACGATTAAATGTTTTAACTAACATACTAACTTGTAAATTATTGTTAATTTGAAAAAATTCATGTTCTAAAATGATATACACATTAAACTTGTATATAAACTTGTATATTCTCATTTGTACGTATACTACTATTGTACAAAATGATACAAATATTTTGTAAATTATTCTCATATCAATTATTTCTATAATAAATATATAAATTTCATTTGATATCGATAAATCAAAAATAAAATTAGTGATCAGACTATAAGTTTACGATTTAAAAATATAAAAATATAATAAAATGTGTTCATCATCATCATTGATCATTGATCATTGATCATAATAGATCATCATCATCATTATTCTTACCTTCCATTTTTGGTGACGATCATTTCATTAGTAATACATTGAAATCTAGTCCATAATTCTCTGTCCTCTAACGAAAGTGACAATGGTAAATTAGTATTTGACGGGATCGAATTAACGCAAATATTTTGCCTTGACAATGTATCCCGATCATCGTTGTTAGATTTTTTATTATTATCCTTAGTAGTCGTTCGTAATTGTTCAACATCATTTTCTTGTTTTAATTCGTGTTCATTATCGTTATCTTGTTGTTCCTGTATTCTACTATGTCGTTCCTTTTCACGACAATTCGAACGAACGGAAGTAACACCAACAAGATTATTATTACCAGGTTGCATCTTACTTTCCTTTTTTTTCTATTTTTTTTTTTTTGCTTTTCACCCTCTCTCTCTTTTCAATTTTCTTTTCGATCAAATTCACGATTAAATCCTTCTCTTAAAGTTGACGAATGGTTTGTGGATCAGAATAAAAAAAAAA